GATTTAAAAAAAAATGTATTAAACTTACTGGGGTGACATGGGTTAATAAGATTATATTAAGTTTCCAGGGTACAGTTTAACACTGCATCATCTGTCTGTTGCCTTGTGTCTTCACTACCCACAGCCAATTCTTCCTTCACCATATTTGACCCCCTTTCCTTCCCTGTAGTTTTTAGAAGAAAATACGTTTTTCTGGGTGAAAAGAGGATGTTGAAAATTGAGAATTTGGTCCAGTGAAACACATTAGTCTTGGAAGAGCATCTATAACTAAAATTATGTTCGTAGTTTTTCTTTAAAGGTAATTTTTAAATTTATATTTTCAGCAATGTTGAGAATGACAGAAGACCACGTGATTCCCGAGCTGAATAAGGTAATAATAACAGTATATTTCTCTCATGTGTTACTTATGCCCTGGTGGAACTCAGCTTTGCTGGCTGTCTTGGTATTGTTATCATGCCAAGTTATTAGTTAATGGGCTGTTCGGCTGTAGACATGTAAGCCTTTTGTTTTTTGTCTCACAAATACCTTTATCATGGCTAATCTTATGAGATTTAACATTCTTAAATCTTAAGTACATTTTTATTTTCCTTGGAAATCTGGTACTTAGATATTCATACTTAATTTCTTTTGACTATAAGGATTGTGACAAATAGCAGGGCAGTCTCTTTCCAGGAAGATCCTACAGATTAGGTCAGAGTTCCCAATGGTGCAGCTCACTCCTCCTCACCCCTGCCCAAACTGTCTGAATAGATTAGGTAAAAAAAAATAAATAAATAAAAAATGAGCCTGAAAAAACATAGAGCAGTAAAATTAGCCTCGGTGGAATAAATAAATAAGGGATTGCAGCTCAACACAAAGTAGATCTTTGTGCTGTGAGTGGGGCCGGGACTAGTAAATCAGGAAAGTTCACAGTAGCTGTGCTAAGACATCACTCTTACCTTTATATTGGGAGATAAAATATGTTCATTGTAGGGGGGACCTAGATGGGTACTTTTTGTGGGCTGAAGAACCTGCATAAGGTAAAGGAAGGGGCAATGCGAGAAGCAGGGGCCAGTGCGGAAGCACGTAGTGCTGTGGAGTGCAGCCTTCATAGCTCAGGGGTTGGGGATTTACCTGGGCTTACAGTCCCCGCTCCCACAGGAGGGACTGCACTGGGCCTGGCACAGGCCTAGCATGATAAACAACCTTGACCACGAGGAGCTCGGGGGCTATTGGAGTCACTGATTGGAAAACGGGGTAAAATCTTTAATTCAGGCTTCCTCAAACTTTTTAAAGTGTGGGCCAGATCACGGTCCCTCAGAGAGCTGGAGGGCTGGACTATATGAACTACTAATTCCTACTGTAACACCTCGGCTGCGCTCACTGCCCAAAAAACCTGGCGGGCCGGATCAGACTCCTCGGCCGTAGTTTGAAGACCCCTGCTTAATTACATGCTTCTCAGAACCCCGGGATTTCATACGTTCAGAGTTACATAATCTGGATTTCTATTGCTATTTCCTCAATGGGACTTTATTTGTCCAATGGCTTTTAATAGGTAGTAAAAAAGTCACATTTGTCATTACATATTTCTTTTACTGGGAAGCTTTCTTTTATCTTGATGTGTTCTATTTTTGCTTTGATAGATGACTCAAAAAGATATCACCTTTGTTGCTGAATTTCTTACTGAACATTTCAATGAGGTAGGAAATTGGTATTTCTGTAATGCTGATTTTTCTTCTTAATAATTGCAGTAGAGCTGGGTAATGGTTAAGAAGTGGTCAAATTCAGTCCAGTTTTATTGAAGGTCCTTAGCAGGTATGCTTTTAAAAACATTGAGTAAGTAATGGCAATATTTATTTATTTCACATATAGCCTGTAAGTTGAACTTTTGTTTGTATAATATTTGTGTCTTACAGTCCATGAAAGAAAAAAGTAACTGCCATAACAGCTCTCTTAACAAAGTTTTTGGTTTAAATATAAGATGTGTATGTGTGTGTGTGTGTGTGTGTGTGTATGCGTGTGTGTGGGTGTGTGTGTGTGTGTGTGAGAGAGAGAGAGAGTTGAGTTATTAATTAAACTGTACTTATCCTTTCTAGGCTCCAGACCTTTATAATCGAAAAGGAAAGTACTTTAATGTTGAAAAAGTTGGTCAGGTATGGACTTTGGATTTAATTTAGTTTTATTTTGTTTTTAAATTTTAAAACCTAATTTTTAAACATTAGCAGTGTTAGTCTTTATTATCCAAAGTTTATGGAATGTAATATAAGGTCAGTTACAGAGTAACCCTGCCCTTTTAGTGAAATAACTAAAGAGTAGCAGTTTTTAAACTTTTTGGTCTCAGAACCCTTTTACATTGTTAAAATGATTGAGGACCCTAAATAGCTTTTTTTTTTTTTTTTTTTTTTAATATATTTTATTGATTTTTTACAGAGAGGAAGAGAGAGGGATAGCGAGTTAGAAACATCGATCAGCTGCCTCTTGCACACCCCTACTGGGGATGTGCCCACAACCAAGGTACATGCCCTTGACCGGAACTGAAATTGGGACCTTTTAGTCTGTAGGCTGATGCTCTATCTACTGAACCAAACCGGTTTCAGCATAAATAACTTTTTTGTGGGGTGTATCTGTCAATGGTAAATGTTATTAGGAATTAGAAATGAAACAGAATAAAATATTTCTTGATTCATTAAAAAATAAGCATTGTTATTAAAAATAACAGTTCCATTAATGTTAATATAAGTAATTTCAATGAAAAACAACTATAATTTATAAAATATAACTTAGTGGATAGTGGCATTGTTTTATAATTCTGCAAGTCTCTGATGTCTGGCTTAGTAGAAGACAGCTAGGTTATCATATCTGCTTCTGCATTTAATCTGCTGTGATACGTTGTTTTGGTTAAGGTATTTAAAGAATACCTGGCTTCGTACAGGTGTGTGTTTGGAAAGGGAGAGGTATGTTAGTAGCGATTCAGATAATGGTGGGTATTCTCTGATACGCACCAAATCCTGACAAGTGATAGTATGTTAAAGGTTAGTTTCAGTGTGGAATCTAAATTGCATCAGTGGACTTTGCGTACTCTAATGCACTACAGGTCCATTCATCTGCCTGGCACTTTGAATAGGTCTGTCCCCCAGGCATGATTTTGTAATATCATGTGTTGCCATGAGGAAAATACCAGCTCACTGAGTTCCATATGCCGACAGCTTTCTTCATACAGAATGCCGGAGTCGGGTTTCATTACTGTCACCTCCGGTCTCGTCGGTCTTTAAGTCCCGTGAAGCTGTCAGTTTCACAGTGACAGATACAGGATTTTCAGAATTTTAATTTCGGCATAAATGTTTAAATTTTACCATTGGCAACCAATATTGGCAGTTGTTTTGCTTAAAGTGACAGCCTCACTTTCTTCACTTTCAAGAAAATATCTGCCAAGTACCCAAGAACGGATAATTGTAGTGTTTTTCGCCAGTCATTCCTTCATATAAAAATGGAATTCCATTAACTGCAGGAGGGTGCCCGGCGACGTCACAGCCGGGGCGTCCAGTGCTCTCCCTGCTGGTGGCAGTCGAAGTGCCTTACGGATGCTTCCTGGTTCTGTCACACAGAATATTCCACGGTTAGGCTATAATAACATTAATAATTTCAATAGCTTGCCGAAACCGGTTTGGCTCAATGGATAGAGCATCGGCTTGGGTACTGAAAGGTCCTGGGTTCGATTCCGGTCAAGGGCATGTACCTTGGTTGTGGGCATATCCCCATTAGGGAGTGTGCAAGAGGCAGCTGATCGATGACTCTCTCTCATCGATGTTTCTAACTATCTCTCTCCCTTCCTCTCTGTACAAAAATCAATAAAATATATTTAAAAAAATAATAATTTCAATAGCTTCATCAGAGATAGTGAAACTGAGCATGTGGCAAAGAGGGATACAGCGGCGGCCATAAGGTTTGGCTCTGCTGCTTGACGCTTGGTGACGGCGCCAGGGGTTTTGACCATCAGAGCAGATGTCGTCCCAGTGAAAGGGCACACAGCACCGTGGCATCACCATGAAGACCGCACTGACCTCACAAGTCCCTGAAAGCGCCCGTGGGCTTTAGGTCGAGCACTGCTGTCACAGAGTGGATTGCCAGTTGATAACTTTTTTCAAATTAATTTATAGACTTACACGTATAAGCTTAAAATATGCTTCATGAAAATAGAACTCAAAATTAAAATTCAATGTATGGCCTGTACTTTCATAGCATTCTAATCTCTTAGTAGTTAGCAGTTTCTTCAGTTGTTAGGTACTTAGCAAATTTTGAGCTCCTCATTTCGAATAACAGCAGGGCACTTTCCAAGAGGACTTGGTAGTAAAACAGATTAACTTATTACATAGAAGAACCTTATATGTAAGCAATTTGAGGCCTTATTTGCTTGGTTTCCTACATACATCTTAAATTCTGCGTTTGTAGTACTTGAAAGATGAAGATGACGACCTGGTGTCACCCCCTAACACAGAAGGAAACCAGTGGTATGACTTCCTGCAGAACAGCAGCCACCTGAAAGGTATTTCATGGGCCCAGGAGGTGTTGGCTGGTGCGTTTATTTATTGGAGACCAGTGCACCCACTGACTGTTTTCCTGAGCCCTTGCTGAGTTCTTACCTAACTTCTTTAGATTTATCTTCTGTGCCCATTTTATTTGAATAGAGAAAAGGTAAACAAACAAACAAACAAACAAACAAAAAAACCAAAGTGTATGACATTACCATGTTCAAAAACAGTTACCAGGTAACTGTTTAGTAAGATTGCTTACTCTGGCCGAGACCGGTTTGGCTCAATGGATAGAGCGTCAATTTGGGGACTGAAAGGTCCCGGGTTCGATTTCGGTCAAGGGCATGTACCTTGGTTGCGGGCATATCCCCAGTAAGGGGTTGCAAGAGGCAGCTGGTCGATGACTCTCTCTCATCGATGTTTCTAGCTCTCTATCTCTCTCCCTTTCTCTCTGTACAAAATCAATAAAATATATTAAAAAAAAAAAAAGATTGCTTACTCTGAAGTATGATGTTTCTGTATGGCACCTTATAAAAAATAGGCTATTGTGAAGAAAACTAAAGAGCCTGCTAGTCAGAGGAGTCTGCTTGGCCGGTTCCAGTTGGCTGACTCCTAACAGCAGGACGCATCCGCAGATTCTCCTGAGGTTGCAGCTTTCCTGTTCCTTGTTTTGCCTTCCATTTTCTAGGTTAGTCGGCAAACTCATTAGTTAATAGAACCAAATATCAACAGTGCAACTATTGAAATTTCTTTTGAGAGCCAAATTTTTAAACTTAAACTTCTTCTAACGCCACTTCTTCAAAATGGACTTGCCCAGGCTGTGGTATTTTATGGAAGAACCACACTCAAGGGGCTAAAGAGCCACATGTGGCTCGCGAGCTGTGGTTTGCAGACCACTGTTCTAGGATTTAAAATGTTGGTGTGGTAAAAAAAAAAAAAAAAAAAAAAAAAAAAAACTGGTTAGAGAAGGCCCAACAGTCACCTGGTATAGCTGATTGGAAATAATAGCTATAAAAACTTTCCCTACCCAGCATTATTAGTGATGCAACACAAAATAGCAGCCATTCTATATGTCAGAATGTCACCATTTTAGATGAGAATATTTGTGAAGTACTCTTTGCTTTCTGAAAGAGTAATCTGACCAGTTTAGCTATTTCTTAGATGCTTATGGTGATAGCCACATACGTGTATTACCTCCTGCAGTCCACAGAAGAACCTGTGGGAAGGTCCTTGTTATCCTCATTTTACTGATGAGGAAACTGAAGGTTAGAGAAGGCCCAAGCTCATACAAGCCAGTAAGTGATGGAGTTGGGATTCTGCTAACTACAGATGAGATTTTAGCTGGACTCAGATGTAATCTGTGCCACTTGGATTTGGTTGTTGCTTATCTGAATGAATGAGGGAGGGGGGGAGAGTGGGAAGGAATTCTCTGAGGCCTAGAACTTTGTTTATTGCTCTTTAGTTTTTTTGTTTTTTTTTATTAAATTATTATCTGTGTACATATTTTAACATTGCTCCTCCACCCATACATACCCTCCCTCCCCAGAGTTTTGTGTCCATTGATTGTACTTACATGCATGTATACAAGTCCTTCGGTTGATCTCTTTTCTCCCCCAGACCTCCCTACCCTCCCCGCTGTAATCTGACAGTCTGCTTGTTGCTTTACTGTCTTTATATCTGACTTTTGGTTCATCAGTTTATAATGTTCTTTAATATCCATAAATGAGTGAGGTCAAGTGGTATTTCTCTTTCATTGACTGGCTAATTTCACTCTGCATGATGTTCTCTAGTTTTGTCCAGGTTGCTGCAAATGATGAGACTTCCTTTTTTATGGCAGCATAGTATTCCATTGTGTAGATCACATGTGTCAAACACAAGGCCCGCGGGCCAAATACGTCCCGCCAGGCCTTGCAATGTGGCCCGCACCGTGCTGTCATCACTGCACTCTGCTGCGTTTCCATCACAATGACAGTTTATGACTGTTCAGTAAACCATTCGGCCCGCCATTTAGGCTGGATTTTAGATTTTGGCCCCTTCTCTGATTGAGTTCGACACCCCTAGTGTAGATGTATACATAGTTTTTTGATCCAATCATCTGCTGACGGGCACCTAGGCTGTTTCCAGATTCTAGCTATTGTAGATTGTGCTGCTATGAACATAGGGGTGCATATATCCTTTCTTATTGGTGTTTCTAGTTTCTTGGGATATATTCCTAGGAGTGGGATTACTGGTTCAAATGGGAGTTCCATTTTCAGTTTTTTGAGGAAACTCCACACTGTTCTCCACAGTGGTTGTACCAGTCTGCATTCCCACCAGCAGTGCACGAGGGTTCCTTTTTCTCCGCAACCTCGCCAACACTTGTCGTTTGTTGATTTGAGGATGTTGGCCATTCTGACAGGTGTGAGATGGTACCGCATTGTTGTTTTGATTTGCGCCTCTCAGATAATTAGTGACTTTGAGCATATTTTCATGTGTCTTTTGGCCTTCCTTCTGTCTTCTTTTGAAAATATTCTATTTAGGTCCATTGCCCATTTTTTAATTGGATCATTCATCTTCCTTTTATTTAGTTGTATAAGCTGTTTGTAGATGTTGGAGATTAAACCTTTATAAGTGGTAACATTTGCAAATATGTTCTCCCACACCGTGGGCTTTCTTGTTGTTTTGTTGGTGGTTTCTTTTGCTGTAAAAAAGCTTTTTATTTTGATGTAGTCCCATTTGTTTATTTTCTCTTTAGCTTCCATTGCCCTAGGGGCAGTATCAGTGAAGAAGTTCTTTTGGCATACGTCTGAGATTTTGCTGCCTGTGGATGTTTCTAGTATTTTTATGGTTTCCCTTCTGATGTTTAAGTCCTGTATCCATTTTGAGTTTATTTTTGTGAATGGTGTCAGTTGGTGATCTAGTTTCATTCTTTTGCATGTATCTGTCCAATTTTCCCAACACCATTTTTTGAAGAGACTGTCTTGACTCCATTGTATATTCGTGCCTCCTTTGTCAAATATTAATTGAGCATAGTGATTTGGGTTGATGTCTGGGTTCTTGATTCTATTCCATTGATCTATATGTCTGTTCTTGCGCCAGTACCAGGCTGTTTTGAGATATTGCTCTTTAGTTTTAACCCTAGGAGTCCATTCTTTTTCAGGGCAACGAGTACTGGATGGGGCAAAAGTAGGTTTACAATTGTTCGTGCGGAAAATAATACAGTAATTAATAAAATAATGCAAGAATGAATTCTGTTTCACATACTCACAACCAACAAAGCTCATCTGACACCACAATTGGAGGGTTTTTTCCTCATGAGACCAAGTGGGTGTCCTACAATTTAATCCTGACCCCAGCTACGTGAGTTAGCACTGGACACCACAGCTTAGACTCAAGGCTCAGCTGCATAGACTGCCCCCACTTCTGACTCCACCTGCAAGTGTTGGGACCCCAAGTGACCCACGTTTCTGTCTCTGTCTCACTTGGCTACAAAGTTGCAGGTTCCCAGAACTCCCCTTCTTCAAGTTGGATAATTTGCTAACATGGCTCAGAAAATTCAGAGAAAGCCCATGACCACTGGTTTATTACAAAGGAACAGCCGGCTAGAAATGATGCTCGGGCAGGCGTCGGCAAGGGCTCCACCTCCCAGAACCTCCAGGTGCTCACCTCCCCGAGCCTCTGAGCTCTGTGGTCCAGAGGTTTCATGGAGCTTTCGTTATGCAGCCATGGCCAATGCAGACATTGACCACTGGTGATGGAACTTAACTCCAGTTTCTCTCCCCTTCCCAGCTGTTGAGGTTGGGGCTGAAAGTCCCAAACTTCTGACCAGGGCTCGGTCTTTTTTGTGTGTGTGTGTGTGTGTAATCTGTAAAATGGAGAACATGATGCTTACTCCGTACAAGGATTGTAAGCAACAGAAATAACAGCTATAAAATGAACCTAGCCTAGGAAAATACTAAATTAGATATTACTTCCTATTGAAAAAGTAGACTTTTTACAAGTAAAGAGCTTATTTTCATAGCACTCGTCTCCTGTTTCTGTTCTTAGTATCATAATCTTCCAAAAACAGCACCGGACTGCTGTTGTCACTCCACTGTGGCTAAGAAGAGAGAAGAATGAACTTGGTTTCATTATATATGTCTTATGGTTCCCAATCTTCTCATAGCCAATAGAAAGGCCCTGTTGGATTTCGGTGGGAGAAATAGCATGTGGAGTAACAGGCTGCTCGGGCTCGGCCTGGAGTCAGTGGGGCTGTGTCTAGTGGGCCGTCAGCGGGGGTGCTGAAAGGCAGGGGCGTTTTCAGGGAGGGTGTGTGAAGGGGTAACGAAGTGGCCGGGGAGAACCCTCCCTCGCATAAGCTGTGTGGGCTGGCTCTAATAACAATATTTCCTTCTGATCCTCTAGTCTAACCTAGCTTTGTTTGTTTTTTCTTTGAAACCAGAAAGCCCTCTGCTGTTTCCCTATTATCCTCGAAAATCATTGCATTTTGTGAAAAGGCGGATGGAGAACATTATTGATCAATGTTTGCAAAAGCCAGCGGTAAGTTCGAAACGCATGCCTTTGTGTAGGCGCCAGAACATCTGCAGTGTGTGGCTCATTTATGTTAATGATCATAGTTACTAAGGTGAACCATAGAACATGCTTTTGACTAACAAAACTGGCAGGTTTATATGGTTCCCCCTAATATGGTTCCCCTTCGAGTTTCTTACGTATATTAAAAATGAAAAGATGAAAGTGTTGGCATCTTTCGTATTTGGTATAAATGTTCTTAGTTTGGAGCTGTTGTGTCTCCTGTTTACTCCCGAAGGGTGGGTGCTGACACTGTGAGACTATAGGGGTGGTTCTTAGGGTGCTATGTGCTTATTGCCAAGGCCCTCTTCAGCTCAGAATTGTGTCTCTCTCTCCCTGACTGTCATTAAAGTTTCTTGTGCAAAAGGTTTGATGATATAGATGATTTTTTTTACTTAACCAATGCTGGTCATTCACTTTCTGTATAGTATTTTTCTGCTCTAATGATATTTTAAACATTATTTTATTTAGGATGTAATTGGAAAATCAATGAATCAAGCAATCTGTATCCCATTATATAAAGATACTAGAAGGTAATTCTATTTGCCTTTTGGGTGGTATAATTCAGCAGCCAATTAAAAATTTTATTAATTTTCCCCCTTTTGTTTTAGTGAGGACTCGACACGTAGATTGTTCAAATTTCCTTTTCTGTAAGTGTGTGTTTTTTCCTTATCATGTGAACAACACCGTTTTGTTCTGTGCATTGAAAACTACCTGCCATGTTTGACATTAAATGTTTTTTTTCTTTAGGTGGAATAATAAGACTTCAAATCTACATTATCTTCTTTTTACTATTTTAGAAGATTCAATTTATAAAATGTGCATCTTAAGGAGACATACTGATATTTCCCAGTAAGTGTTCGTCTGAAGTTTGAATCAGAAGAGATAAGATTTTATTCTTAATCATAAAACATACAGTTCCTCTTTCTTACACTTCAGGCTTTGCCTACCTACCTATGACTTGTCCCTGAACTGTTCGCAGTCTTAGTTTTCATGTCACTAGATAGACGATAGGGCCAGATTAGGAAGCTACACGATCCCTTCTGATTCTAGAGTATCTGATTTTGTATTGGTGTAGAGCAGTTACATGTAGGATGTTTTTTAGGCTTAGGAAAAATCAAGAGTAGAACACTCAGGATTACGTCTCATGAACTTGTAGAAGTTCAAAACTGCATTATGGGTTCCTTATAGAAAGGCCTTTTACCTGAGGTTAAGTAAAGGCCTTTTACCTGCCTTTCATTCAACAATGCCTTTCTCACTGCTTTTGAGAATCCATCAGGAAAGTTCTGAAAGGTAGATCAGATTCACAATGCCATTAGTATCTGAAAAGGGTTTAAATCTGAATTTCCAGGACATATTTTGAGACCAAGATATGAAATCTTTTGGTTGTTCCAGATGTCCTTAATTGTGTAAGGTACCCAGCTACTTTGGTGACCATAAGATTGTAAGTCAAGTTGTAATTTTGATGTGGGTTTATCTCTAGGTGTTTAAATTAGTTACTAGTGTTCTAGAGTGAGTGTGTGGGTCTGGGATTCGGGGTTTAGGTAGA